GTTTTTCCTGAAATCTTCAATCTTCGAGTAGCGCTTAAGCAATTCGGCCAGGCGTGGATCCAGATCCGGCTTGTGTTTTCCGTAGTGCAAAAATGCCCAGAATTTTTCGAGGCCATAGAGATGACCGGTGTCGTAATCCCACAGGGTCTCCTCCTGTTGACAGAGAGGAAATAAATAGCGTATAAGAAAAAAGGATAGGGGACTCAAAGGCGTACATCCCTAAAATCAAACTGATCTGGGACCTGGACAGTGGTGCTGAATGAGATAAGCAACAAAGCACTCCGTCTTATATCCCCACTAATAATAATATAGAAGTAAAATGAATGACCGACTACCGAAAGCTTACAGCTGTCGTGCCCAGAGAATTTTAACTGTACGACGCGCATAAACTAGGAGAACAGCTGCAACCAGACCATTGTCTGCACTGTCGGCAATTCAATTGGTTCAATTTCCAAAAATACCATTGGCCACGGCAAAAAGGCAAGCAGGGAGGACGTAACGCACAGCTGCGCGAAGAAAGACCGACGTGGAATGCGAGGTTTTTGCAAAACAGTCGCTAAAAAACAACTTTGCACACGCAAGCTGAGCTACCTAGGGACTAGGATGATCGCAACAAACAAACGGTAATGCTTCACGGCTACGTCAGAATAGGACACGCCTCCCTCAAAATGCGCAACTTATATTAGGAGCAGCTGTTCGACAATACTGGATAATGTTCGCCTTTTTAAACCTCTCTTATAAACCAAAAGCAACTGTCAGTTTGTACTGGAATACAAATTACGAGTAGGACGAAAGACAGACTTCACCCAAACATGTGGACAGGAAAAGCGACACATCGAAAACATAACGAAGAATGGCTTTGTAATAAAATATGCACATATGACAGTAGGGGGCTCATTGATCTAGTTAAGAAACAAGAATGTCGCTGTGCCCTGGAGCTCACTATAGAGCCCCCGTGAGCAGTAGCATAGCAACTAGTTGAAGACGAACCGAAGGAAGACAAAGGAGACCAGAAAGGCCATTTCTGGCTAATGAGCCGTCATTAGCCAGTCAGACGCAACCCCAATTCTACCTGACAGTGGATGTGAAATCAGCCCTGAATTCAGAGTGCCTGACC